TTCTGGCCCCAAGCGAACCCTTGGCCTGACTTTCTTAACTCAGCGGAAACTTAACTCAACAGAATAGCTCAATGCAATGCAATATTACAAAACAACTTAACTTATAAAATATGGCCATAAGGCAACCCGAATCTCAAAATAGGATATTTACATATATACATAGATAAGAGACTCAAAACTAGCTGACTGACTGTTTGTCTATGAAGCCTCTAAAAATACTGAGATGGATGTTGGGATAGACCCCGCAACATCCTAATAAGACAAAGCTAAGAACACAAAACAATTGAGTCCTCCGGAATGCAAGGAGGCTCACCACTGACTCTGGAGTGCTCAGCTGGATCAACGACGTGCAGGATGCTGATCCGAGGTACTTGAATCTGCATCATCAAACGATGCAGGCCAACTGGCATCAGTACATGGAATGTACGAGTATGCAAGCGGAAAAGCCAAACACAACTTAAGCTTGAAAGGAAATACAAGAGAACACTTACCTCGACTCTGTACAACTCATGACTAACTGAACTCAGTATATAAAGCAATAAGACGCATGCAATATATATAGCTTGTAAAACAGTATAAACAACTTAGCTTGTTAAGGATAAAACAATAACAACTCAACTGTACTTATATAAAAGTGATATAACTTATGTGGGAGGTTCTTTAACCGACAACCACCACTATGAGCCCTAGTGATGATACAACGCTTTACCTCGCGTTGCCAAAGGACCATCCTATACCTTGCCGTGATATAGGAAGCTAACTTTACTTAGTGGATCCACTAGCTTAACTTTCGTGATCATCTAAAAAGTATGATCCGAGAAATCCCATGTTGGCGCATGGTTCTTATGGAGAGTTGAGTAAATCAGAACTCGTGTCCTCAATTCGGTGCTCAATACTACTCCCAAAAATACTTTGGCCCATAGATGTCTTTAAACACATTTTTTTTTCTTTAGTTGAGATAATTACTCAAAACTTTAGCCCAAAGGCTCTTTTGGGGAAAGAAAACATGATTCCCCTCTTGCTCAAATGTAATAGCATTTATAACCTCCTTTGGGAATACTTAGTTCCCTAATAGCTTTTAAAAAGAGAACTCAACTTTAGACTCATGACTTAGCTTGAAACTGAGACTCTTACTCGACTTGAAACTTGAGACTCTTACTTAGCTTGAAACTCTATACTCTTTTTCTTGACTTCTAACTTCACTTGACTTGGAACTATCTTTCCTTGAATCAGAATTATGAATTCAAGGTGTTCGATCACATGTTGTGGAGGGATTCTTGAACGCTTAGACGTACTTTGGAGTGTCGGAAACAACTATAAAACATAGGTATAATACTTTGGAACTTGCTTGAGAAGGTGAGAAAAGAAATGGGGAAACTTGGCTGAGACTGCAGATTTCTGGTGACACAGATGGCACTTACGGACGCCATCAACGGACCGTAGATGGACTCACGGTCCGTCCTGCAGGTCCGTAGATCGCGTCAGAAACTTCCCCCGAATTCATTTAAAAAAAATGACTAAGTGTTGACTTACGGTCCGGACTTACGGTCCGTAGATCAGGTTACGGACCGTAGGTCATGACCGTAGATCGACGCCCCAAAAACCCAACTTCTGTCCCGATCAACGGTTGACCAGTACGGACCGTCAATCGATCTACGGTCCGTAGGTCACGCCCGTAGATGGGGATCGACAGCCCAGAAATTGTTGCGAATTGATGGTGAATCAACTTAAAAAGGGTCATAACACTTAGAATCGCAATTCCCACAATATACAATAGGTTTCAACGTAAATATACGACCCAATCATGTCTCACAACGAATAATAACTTCAACAACACCACCAACAACATCAACAACAACTAACAACTTCAACACTTCAACAACAATTCCCAATCTTTTCTCAAATCATAGAATAAACTTGGTGTGTGTGGGGGAAAGAATCAACCCACACAAAAAAAAACTCACATACCTTGATAGGGATCACCCCCGACGAAAAATCCACAATGATCTTGACTAATCTCCTCTTTCTTCTCTTCTTCTTCTTCTTCTCCTTCTTCTCTTCTTTAATCTCAAGAACCCTAACTCTTTCTCTTTCAAAATGGGACAAAAAAAGAATGATCCAAGGATCAGCCTAATACAACCATATGACCTCAAAAGAAATAATTTGTGAAAGGACCAAAATGCCCTTAAATTTCCGGACGGATTTCCCTTCCAACTGTCCAACTTCTAAATGGCATAACTCCCTCATACGAACTCGGAATCGAGCAAACTCAGTGGCGTTGGAAAGGTCATTCCACGAGCTTCGCAACCATAACTGGAACCACTCCTAACTCATCCTGAGCTAGGAGTTACGACTACTCAAAGTTGGCCAAAACTCACTGATTTTCACACTTGGCCAAATTTCCAGATTTTTTTTTTATTTCATTTTTCCAAAAATGACTATTTCCAAATTTCAAGCTCCTTCAAAGCCACTTCAAATTGTCGGATGTTACATTCTATGTCTTAATCAACCAAAGGCACCAACTCGAACTCGAACAACTACTCATCAACCATAGACAAATAAACTAGCAAGCAACAAAGATATTCAAAGGGGAAAGGAAAAGAGGGATAGAAAGTTTCGGTTCGCAAACACGATACCCACTGAAACGAGCTAAGGTCAAAACGAAAATTACCTATTGGGGAGCAGCGAAGCAGGGGCAGTAACGAGCTAGCCACGAAGATTATTCCACCACCAAAGCGAGATTACTAGGACTCCTATGAACGAAGCAAGGGAACCACACTATGATCACACTAATCTATTCTTTGTTTTAAATGTGTTTTGTATGTATTTTTACTGTTTTTTGCTTAAGTTCTTTAGATATTTTTCGTTCAAAGATCCAACCCCCAACAAAGGAGAAAAAGGGGGTATATATAGGGGGGAAACTAGAGCTCACGATTTGGAAGAGCCCGGTGAATATTTAGAGTAGCTTGGGACAAAATCGTCAATCCGGATTCAAGCCCCTTTGAATTTTTTCTTCCCCAAGGAGAGGAAAAGCTGTTGCTTGTATAAAATTTCAAACGAAATCCCCCAAAATCCGGATGAAAAGATCGAGGTGGGCGGCTGTTGCAGAGAAAGCTATGGGAGCTGCTGTTTGTTGACGTTTCTGGATTTTGCAGTGCATTCACGTGTTGGTGAAGAAGAAAGAGGACGCAGGGGTTGTTTTGTTTGGGCTGCTGTACAATGTTCTGGAAATCTGGGTTCTTTTTGTGAAGGAGAAATGGATTTGGGCCGGGTTGATGGGATTATTGGGTTGGGTCGGCTGGAATGGAAAAGAATTGGAAAAGAGGTGGGCTGGGGGTAATTGGTTTGGGCTGCTGGAGGGAGTATAATGGGCTGACAATTATGGGAGATGGGAATTGAAAAGGGGGGGGGGGGGGGGGGGGTTGGCTGAATGGTGGGATTTGGGATGAAAAATGGCCCAATATTTGGTATTTTAAAGGTTTTAAAAGAGGTAAAAGAAGATGGCTAAAATAGTAAATAAGGTATAGCTAGCCATATTGAATTTAATTTCCGATTTCGGCTAAGATCTAAATAGGATGAATTATGAATCATTAATTAACGAGCTTCTTAATTTTAACAAGAAATAAAATAGTTAACTTAAATAAAAATAATTAATTTAAATACCGACTAGTTAATTCAAAATTGCAATTATGATTTACACTAAACTAAATTAACAAAACGAAATGTTTTTTGATATAAGATATACTAATTACATATATAATTATATGAAATATATTTGTCATTCAAAACATCATAAAAGTCGACCGAAATTATTTAAAATAACCTTGAAACTATTTGAATCTTATAAGGTTAGTTATTTTAAATTGTTTGGAAATTAAGAAGCTTGGCAATCAATCATTATCGAGGAGGATCAAAATTGGGTGTCAACACATCTCTCATTCTGCAAACTAAAGAATTTTAAAGGCAACACTTTTTGCCAAGGAAAATTCATTCAAAAATCATATGGTTTGCAGATCTTTTTCCAAAGACATACATAATAAATATCAAAATTGTTAACTTTTAGAAACTATTTTTCTCCTTAGATAAATAATAAGAAGGTTACCTGGTGTAATCTTTAATCGAAATACCACCAATTCTTCTAGTACATTCTCACTTCGACCTTGCTAAACAAAGCACCGAATTCTGGAGAAGTAATACATTAATCTTCTACTTCCATGATCTGTTTCTCTCAATCAGTAGAATACAAGAAATACCAACAGTATAATAATTTCCTTAAGATTGTTGTTCATCTTGTATTCCTAAGATACTTAGAACAAAACTTTGAAGAACTTGGTAAGAAACAACAAAGTTTAAAGAGTATTTTCAAACTAGAAAATTAAAACTAGTGGAGAAAATAGAATCAACAATAGATTAGAAACAATATAAAAATATTTTTCTTAAAGAAAGAAAATCGAGCCCATTAAATGCACAGTGTCCCTTTAAGGAAATTATTCCCCTCAAGTACCCGAGGTTAATGGAATATATCCTCCCAGGATCGAACGATCTTACTCACCGGTGTATCGTTACGTAAAACCACAGTGTCAGCTAACCACTCAACGACAGTAACGTACACTTAGACTACTAGATTTAGTAGTAGTAGAAGAAGTCTAGAAAAATTCGTTCAACTAAAATGAGAGGAAATCCATTAATTTATAGAAAACAAAGGGTAGTGTGAAAATGTTCTTATTGTGCCTTATCGGAAAGGTCACAAACCTTTGGAAAATTCACAATCTTTCGGAAAGGTCATAACCTTTCATAAAAGTCACAACTTTTCATAATTATAGTCGCAACTCTTCATTTTTCCATTCACACCTTTTAAAATCCAACAGTTGGAACTTTCTCATCAAGGACCAAACACAGGTCTTCCATTGGCTTGGGGACAGAGTAATATTGGTAATGAAAAGTCCACACAGCCTCAACTAGCTAGATGGTTTAATTGCATTTACTCTTAAGACATAATAAAATAATAGTGAGGTCTCAGCTGTACATGAGTAGTACAGAAATGTCAAAGGAAACCTCTCTGCTAAAATATTCAACATTAATCCTCATCTTTCTGCAAACATCCAATGCTTGGAAGAGCAAACCCTACTACTGTCCCCCTTCTGCTTGTGGTCATATCCGGGACATCCGCTACCCTTTTCACTTACACTGATCCAAAACATTGTGGAGATGATCCACAATTTGAATTTACTTGTGAAGACAACCAAACGGTTATGTCGTTCCTCTCCAAGAAGCTGTATGTACAAGCCATCAACTATAATAATCGGACAATTCACGTGGTAGATCCAACTTTACAAGCACAAGATGATCTATGCTCTTTCAGACCTCAGCTTCTGTTCTTCGACCAACCCTATACAATCTTCAGCACATACTATAATGAATTTAGAGTAGCAGAGCCCATTTTCATGTTCAACTGTCCATTTGCTGTTAATAATTCTTTGACATTTCTGGAAATTAGTGGCTGCAAATTAAACAGACACACTTATTTAAAGATTGGAGAAACGAATGTCTCTGAAGTCAGCGATGGATGCACAATGGAATTTATAGCCATGACCTCATGGCCTAATATTAAAAATGCAGAGAACAATATTTCCCAGTTCTGATTTTCATCAAGCACTCCTCTACGGATTTAACCTTTTTTTGAATGAGAATCCGTGTGATTTTAAAGTGAGGAAGAGTAAGGACTTCAATTATATATGCTATGCTCCTTCATGAACATTGTTAGAATACTATGTCGAAACACATGATTAATAGTATATAATGTCGGGTTGGTTTGGTCTCGGGTTGATTTTTTTAGTTAAAACCAAACCAACCAAAATATAGTCGGGTTTTTTTTCCAATACCAAACCAAGTCAAACCAAACCACTAGTCGGATTTTTTTTTTCGGTTTGACTCGATTTACGGTTTGGTTCGATTTTGTACACCCCTACCTTGTTTGCTAGATGGAAAATAGATGATTGATTTGCTCATTAGATAGGTAAATGCCAATGACTGAAATTGAAGGACAAGCCTTTGAAAAGTATTCTCAATGTCTTTCAAGGTTTTTGCATGCTCCATGTCTCAAGTAAGTTTTCACTGCGGTATCATAGGGTGGATAGGACCTTAATGTTACATTCATATAATGATGCTCATTTCCTTTAGTGTTGAGCAAGGAAACAAGGCATTTCCATCGCCATACATCATTTAATAAATAGGTAAACGTCAAAGTCTTCTCTTCAAGTTGGAACTTTCTCATGGGGGCCAAACACAAGTCTTCCATTGGCTTGGGACCCAAAGGAGTAATATTGGTAGTGAAAAGTCCACAGAGCTTTAAGTATCCAACAAACGCAGGCGCATTCATAATAATATTGAACTCTCAATTCTTTTCTTCTCTTGGAAATAGTAGGAAGGAAAAGAATCAACATAGATAGTCCAAATGTATTGTAGGAGAACCATTCTGCTTAAATATTTTACATTAATCCTCATCTCTCTGCAAACATGCAATGCTAGGAAGAGCAAACACAACTGTTCCCCTTCTGCTTGTGGCCATATCCGTAACATAAGCTACCCTTTTCGCTTAAACACCGAGCCAGAATATTGTGGATGTGGTCGAGCATTTGAATTAGCTTGTGAAGGTAACCAAACAGTTATATCGTTATTCTCCAAGAAGTTGCACGTTCAAGACATCTACTATGATACTGAAGCAATTCACCTGGTAGATCCAACTTTACAAACACAAGATGATCTCTGCTCTTTCAGACCTATGCATATCTTCTTCGACCAAGCCTATACATTCTTCCTGTCAAACTATGCAGTAGATCCCATTTTCATGATCGACTGTCCATTTGCTGTTAATAATTCTTCGACACTTCTGGAAATTAGTGGCTGCAAATTAAGCAGACACACTTATTTAAAGATTAGTGATATAGATGCCTCTGCACTCAGCGATGGATGCAGAGTGGAATTGATAGGCCTGACCTCATGGCATAATATTAATTATACAGAGAATAACATTTCCCTTTCTGATTTTCATCAAGCAATCCTCTACGGATTTGACCTTCATTATGATCTGCGGTTTTCTTCACAAAGGATAAGTTATCGACCAAGTAAGGACTTCTTTCAATTATATATGCTCTGCTCCTTAATGAACATTCTTTTCCATCCTAACAAATTAGGAAAACAATGGATATATTCACTCACTACAATTTTATTTCTTTATGTCTCTGTAGGTTTTATTGACCAGATTGTCGGTGAGGACTCAAACTTTTCTCTACATGTACTTTTAATTCTCCATTCACTCACTATATATGCTTCTTAATGAACATTTCTTTCCATCCAAGTTAGGAAAAACAATGGATTCACTCACTACAATTTAATTTCTTTATTTCTTTGTAGGTTTTCTTGATGGGATTCTCTGTGAGGACTCAAACTTTTCTCTACATATACTTTTAATTCTCCATTGATCTCTCATTCTAAATTTGCTAAATTTATGCACTTTAATCTGTCCAGGGATTGGTCTGACGCCATTTCGCGGCCTACTTGAGAATATAGTGTATAAACAAAGGATAAGTAAGGACGGACTTCAATTATATATGCTCTGTTTCTTAATTAACACTCTTTTCCAATCCTAAGAAATTCGGTGAACAGTGGATTCACTCACTACAATTTAATTTCTTCATGTCTTTGTAGGTGTTACTTTTCTCTACATATACTTCTAATCTAATCCTCCATTTATCTCTCATTCTATATTTTTTGCAATTTAATCTAACCAGGAACCAGTCTGAGGCTACTTCTGTATTTCGAATGTGATCCTATATTCTAGTTATGATGGACTAAGGGTGTGTTTGGTACGAAGGAAAATATTTTTCGGAAAATGTTTTCCAATTTTTCCATGTTTGGTTGGATCAAGTGTTTTGAAAAATATTTTTTCAAATCAACTCATTTTCTCAAATTTAAGGAAAATGACTTCTCTTAAAAAATTAGGAAAAACATTTTTCAAAACTTTTCTTCAACTTCAAATTACAATATTTTTTGTTCAGAAAATAAATTTAAAGCTTTTTTTTTTAAAAAAAAAAGTTTCTAACTTCAATTTTTTTATTTTTTTACCCCACCCTCACCCCGACCCTCCCCCCTCCCCAAAAAAAAAAATTTAATTTTTGTTTTTAAAAAATATTTCCAATGTCAAATTTTTTCACCCCACCCCTACCCTGATCCCCCGGCCAGCCCCACTACCTCACCCAAAAAAAAAAAAAAAATTAAAATTTGTTTTTAAAAAATATTTCCAATTTCCAATTTTTACTTTTTAGCCCCCCCCCCCCCAAAAAAAAATAAATTTAATTTATCTTTTAAAAAAATTTCCAATTTTCAATTTTTATTTTTTCACCCCACCCCTACCCGCGACCCCCCTCCCCCCCCCCCAAAAAAAAAAACTAATTTACTTTTTTTAAAAAAATATTTTTAATTTCAAATTTTTATTTTTTTTATCCCATCTCAACCCTCTCCCCCCTCAAAAAAACATATTAAGTTTATTTTTTAAAAGTATTTTCAATTTCAGTTCAAAAAATTATTTTCTACTCTCTAGTAAATATAGAAGATATTTTCTCAAAAATATTTTTTCATTTATAAATCAAACACTAAATTTATTTTCCAGGAAAACATTTTCCTTCATATCAAACACACGCTAAGTAAGGACAATATTCAATTATATTTGCTCTACTCCCTAATTAACTTTCTTTTCCATCCTAACAAATTAGGAAAAACAATTGATTCACTCACTACAATTTAATTTCTTTATGTCTTTGTAGGTATTATTGAACAGATTCTCCGTGAGGACTCAAAACTTTTCTCTACATATCCTTATAATTCTCCATTTATCTCTCATTCTAAATATTTTTCACTTTAATCTAACCAGTGACCAGTCTGTCGCTACTTGTGTATTTCATGGGTAAGCTCCTATATATCCCTTTAGCAAGCTGTATGATTATTTGGCTGGAAATGGATTAACATTCCATTTCGTGAAAATAATAATAATAATAATAATAATAATAATAATAATATTAATAATAATATTAATATTATTATTATTATTATTATATTTTATTTATTTATTATTAAAAGTGAGAAGTGCGAAAATACAAAGTTGAATTACCATTTTACTCATGTCCTAAATTAAAATGTTATAAAATATTTAATTAATTAAATACTAAAAGGTAATAATATATCATATATTATACTAATTCATTTTTCAAAACTCTAATTCATCCTTCAATATTTTTTTTCTTACCCTACCCCGTACCCGACCTCCCCATTCAAAAAATAAATTAAAATTTTAAAATTTTCTTATTTTTTATATTTTAAATAATTTGTTCACCCCTACACCCAAACCACCCCCCCTCCCCCCAAAAAAAAAAATTAAAAAATCATTTTTGAAAAATATTTCAAATTTTGAGATTCTTTTTTACCTCACCCAACCCCTACTCCTCCCCTCCATAAAAAAAATATTTCAATTTTTTTAAAATTCATTTTTACCCCCCCCCCCCCCCCCAATCAATTTTCTTTTAAAAAAATTATTTTTGAAAAATATTTCAATTTTTTACGTCATTCCCACCCCACCCCTAACAAATTTCTTTTAAATAAAAATTGTTTCTAAAAAATATTTCAAATTTTAAACATTTCATGTTTACTTCACCCCTACACCCTACGCCTTACCCAACTATCCCCCAACCGCCACCCCCCACCCCCTCCCCCCGTCAATTTTTTTTATTTTTTTTCCTATTTTGTAAAATAATAACTAAAATTAAATTAAAAAAATTAGATGATATTGTTGTGTTTGCATAGAGAAAACATATAGTCAGTAGAATATATAAATTTAGGCATGTACAAATTTAATAAAATAATATGAGATAAAAGCACATTTCCAAAGACCAGTAATCTAACACTAGTGAGCACAACACAAAAATTCTAAAATAGAACAAGTCGAAAAGACGTCTCTTCAAAACTCATAATTTCTGAAAAGAATAGAACGGTCGGCATAAGAAAAGACTCTCTATGATATATTGGCTCAAGAGGAAGTTAACTTTATGACTTCTTAATCTTGCAGCGTATTTGGGCGCAAAATTTGTGATCGGCCTTCCGTTAATAATTGTATTTTTGGTGATCAAATTCAAAAGGAGGCATTTGTCCATGTATGATGCGATTGAAGGCTTTTTGCAAACACAAAACAATTTCATGCCAATCAGATATAACTACTCCCACTTAAAGAGAATGACTAGAGGATTCAAAGAGAAATTAGGTGAGGGAGGTTACGGCAGTGTATACAAAGGAAAGCTTCAAAGTGGAATAGATGTAGCAGTGAAGATGTTGAACAAGCCTAAAGCTGGTTGTCAAGACTTCATGAATGAAGTAGCTACCATTGGAAGGATTCATAATGTCAATGTGGTTGGACTCGTGGGGTATTGTGTTGACGGAACAAAGCGTGCTCTTGTATATGATTTCATGCCCAATGGATCACTCGACAAGTACATCAGCACCAGTCAAGAAGGAAGTCCTCTGTTAAGTTGGCAGAGGAAGTATGACATTATTCTTGGGGTGGCTCGAGGAATTGGATATTTGCATCGAGGCTGTGATGTACGAATTTTGCATTTTGACATCAAGCCACACAACATTCTTTTGGATGAGAATTTCATTCCAAAGATTTCTGACTTTGGGCTTGCAAAATTATATCCAACAGATAATAGCATTGTGAATCTCACAGCTGCTCGTGGAACTATTGGATATGTTGCTCCAGAGTTGATCAGCAGAAGCATTGGAGCAATCTCTTACAAAGCTGATGTGTACAGCTTTGGAATGCTGCTAATGGAAATGCCGGACTTGAATAGACATGAAGTTGCAAATGATGAGAATTCCAGCCAATATTTTCCTTCTTATATTTACGATAAGTTCAACAAGGGGAAGGAGATCCTGGTGGATGAAGAAGCAAATGATGATGAAAAGAAGATGGCTAGAAAGCTGAGTTTAGTTGCATTATGGTGCATTCAGACAAATCCAATACAACGCCCTTCAATGAGTAAAGTATTAGAGATGCTTGAAGGTGAAGTTGAAGTGCTAGAAGTACCTCCTCAGCCTCTTCAATCTCAACAGATTGTTCATCAAATGATGAGAAGTTCTATGACATTTTCGTCTGATTCAATGGCTTTGTTAGAAAATTCTGTCAAAGTAGACATTTGTTCTGATTGATTATAGTTGTGTATTGTTCATTTAAAATGACATATATGCGAGAACGACTTAATTAAAAGTCTATTTTCAATCTCAAGACTTCATCACTCGATTTTGGGGCTTGGGATTATAGTTTGGGATGATTTTAATGGGGTTTTGTTGTATTTCTTTGTAACACATATATCTATGTAAATTGTTTGGATTTTGAATAAAACACAAAATTTGCCAAAAAAAAAAACTTTCTAATTAAGCTTTTGTGCGAATCTTATCAACAAAATAGTGATTTAAATAGTGTTTTAAATTGGGGATTTGGGGTTTTTACCCCAAAGTGAGATTGATGTGATTCTTTCTAAGATTATCAAATTTAGTTCATGAAAATATAAATCACATAATTGGTCCAAACTTGAATGAAAAGGATTAGACTGGGCATAGGTCAAGTAGCACAGATGAAAGACTAGGATGATTTGGGATGTATATATAGCCTTAGATTTAGTTTGTAATAAAATGAATTTATAAAAGAATAAAGCAAGAAAAAGAAAAATCATATTGAGTTGGACAAATTGGGATAAATCCATTGTTTTGCCCTAATTCAGCCACCCGTCTTGACCCGAGCAAACATGCATAGGCATAATATATAAATATGTAATCTTAACTTGACTTCAACTCATATTTATGCCTTCCAACATTGGTGTTTACAATTAGACACTTAAACTTGTATAAAAGTTGAACAAATTGACACACACGTCTTACGTGGCATCCTACATGACAATTATCATCCTACGTGATGTCCTATGTGTATTTAGCCATATATGGAGAAAATGGTCCAATGTCCCCCTAATCTATACTCAAATTTCCAACTACACACTTGAATTTCACGGGGATCCTATCACCCCCCGAACTGTTAAAAATTGAAATTATTACACCCCTAAAAAGTCACAACCACATTTATGTTGATAAGTGAAATGCACGCGTTTTGACAGGTGGAAATTTTATTAAAAAAACTTTTTTTTAGTTTTTCCCTTTTGATTCATCATTTAAAATTTTTGTTGAAGGTTAAAAGGTCAAAATTATAGATCTGTGTCTTTTGATCTTCTTATTTGAATATTTCAACAGCAAATAGTTTATATGTGACATAAGTAACGTTGATTATGTTTGCAGTGTTTCACACATCTTAAAGTTTGTATCTTGGGTAAGAAATTGTAATCTCCTTTTTATAGACACATACATATCAAGAAGTTGTTGCCGAATAAAAGTCGTATTTCATGTTGTACAAATACTGATCAACATATGCTTCTTTAAGGTGGATA